AGCTCCTTTCCATGTCCTCATTACATCCTATCAACTTGTCGTCTCGGATGTCGCTTATTTCCAAAAGATGAAGTGGCAATATATGATCTTGGATGAGGCTCAAGCTATCAAGAGTTCACAAAGTTCTAGATGGAAGAGTCTACTTGGTTTCCACTGCAGAAATCGTCTGCTGTTAACCGGTACTCCAATCCAGAATAATATGCAAGAACTTTGGGCTCTATTGCATTTCATCATGCCTAGTTTGTTCGATTCTCATGACGAATTCAGTGAATGGTTTTCTAAGGATATTGAAAGTCATGCTCAAAGTAACACCAAACTGAACGAGGATCAACTCAAACGTTTGCACATGATTTTGAAGCCTTTTATGCTTCGTCGTGTCAAGAAGCATGTGCAGAAGGAATTGGGTGATAAGATTGAAGAAGATATCTTCTGTGATCTCACTTATCGTCAAAGAGCATACTACAGCAACCTTCGAAATCAAATCAGTATCATGGATCTCATCGAGAAAGCAACAATTGGAGATGATAATGATACTGGTACGTTGATGAATTTGGTAATGCAATTCCGAAAGGTTTGTAATCATCCAGATCTTTTCGAACGTGCCGAAACTACGTCGCCTTTATCTTTCAGTTACTTTGCCGAAGCCGGTTCGTTCTTGAGAGAAGGTCCTAATGTTACCGTGGCTTACTCGGCACGTAATCTGATTCAGTACTCTCTACCTCGATTGATATGGCGTGAAGGTGGACGACTTGACTTGCCTGGACGAGATAATGAAGGTGCTGGCGTCAAGGCCAAATGTTTGGAATCACTTTTCAATGTTTGGAAGCCTGAGAACATCGTTGACAGTTCCAAAGAAGATGGCTCATTCTCATGGCTTCGTTTTGCAAATACCTCAGTTCAAGAGGCGTCTACGGCTTCGAGCAAGGATGTTTTTGCTCGTGCTGTGGATATTGTAAAGAAGCCACAAAGTCTTGGTAGGCTTAGCATTGTCTATGATGAAGAGGAAGACAAGAATTATACCCCGGTTCACGCTATGCTTCAAATTGTCGAGAGGAAAGATCGCAAGCCTCTTGCTGAAGTCACAAATGAGGGATACCTCAACAAACTCTTCAATGTGGCTAAGAATGTTTGGGATGAATCTGGTATAAGCCGAATGGAACAATGTGGTCGACCAAGTGCAACCGCTCCTCCTATTGAAGTCGATTGTTCTAGTCGAGGTGCTGTTCTCGAAAGACAAAAGATTTTGTTCAATGTTTCGATGAGACGTGCCTTATTTGGTCCTTCACCTGCTGAAGAAAAGGCATTTATTACCTCTAAGGTTTCACCATCATTCTATCCGCCAAAGCCAATGTTACCAGCACCTACCTCTGAAAAACAACGCTTCACCAATATCAAAGTACCATCCATGCGTCGCTTTGTTACCGATTCTGGTAAACTTGCTAAGCTTGATGCTTTGCTCACCAAACTCAAGGAAGGCGGTCATCGCGTTCTTTTGTATTTCCAAATGACACGTATGATTGATCTCATGGAAGAGTATTTGACATATCGCAATTATAAATACCTTCGTCTTGACGGTTCTACCAAACTTGAAGATCGAAGAGATACTGTTCATGATTTCCAAACTCGACCAGAAATCTTCATCTTTTTGTTAAGTACAAGAGCTGGTGGTTTGGGTATTAATCTTACAAGTGCGGATACAGTCATCTTTTATGATTCTGATTGGAATCCTACAATTGATAGTCAAGCTATGGATCGTGCTCATCGTTTAGGTCAAACGAGACAAGTTACTGTTTATCGTATGATTACTCGTGGCACTATTGAAGAACGAATTCGTAAGAGAGCACTTCAAAAAGAAGAGGTTCAAAAGGTTGTTATGACTGGTGGTGCTGGTGGTGGTGTAGACTTCAATGCCAGAAGTAAAGAGAATAGAACCAAGGATATTGCCATGTGGTTGGTGGATGATGAAGAAGCTGCGGAAATTGAGAGGAAGGCAGCCGAACAGGCGAGATATGAAGCCGAGAACCCTAATCTAAATAAGAAGGGTAAGAGTAAAGGAAAGAAGGCCAAGGAGGGTGCTGGCAGTTTGGAGGATCTTTATCATGAGGGTGAGTTTTAGTTCCATATTTAGATTTACATAGCGTGGTTTAATTTCATTCTTTAAAAGAAGGATGGGATGAGTACCATGAGATGATTTCGAGAATTTTTACTAACTATGGTGAATAGGCGAAGGACATTTTGATGATGGATCTAATAGACCTAGTGGTACTGCAACACCTATTGCAGGTGATTCTAGCGCGAAAAAAGGATCGAGTAGAAAGACTGCTAGTGGTGGGAGAAGTAAAAAGGCAAAGACCGCTAAAGAGAGGTTGGCCATGGCAGATGGAGATGTGGATATGGCATAGAAGTATGGGGATATAAGGGGATATGGGTATTATGAAGGGATAATGGGTGGGAATGGGTGGATTGATATGGATTGTACGATTGCTTGGTAATATTATGATGGGGATTTGCAAATGGAAAATCATCATTGGAGAATGAATGGGCAAAGGAGTGGAGGGAAAGAGTAAAAAGATTTTTAAGAAAACTTGAGATTATTAAGAGTTCAATTGCAGATCAGATTTAAAGGGAAGCTTGGAAGCATGCATGGATGGTAGGATGGATGGGCATGAGCTTGACTTGACTTGGCTTGGCTTGCTTGAGCTAGGTAGGTACCTATCTATGGCTGGCTGAGATGGGAAAAATGTCATTTGTATTATACTTATTAGGTACTTAAATTATTTTACTTTGGTGACTGACTCTACTCTACTTTACTTTACTTGATTTCTTGCCTTGTCTTGTCTTGGTGGGGAGTGGGGATGGTTTATTATTATGGTGATTTAGAGTAGAGTAGAATAGATGTAGATGTAGATGTAGATGTAGATGTAGATGTAGATATAGATGTGGTTTGGTTTGGTTATTTCTTATTCGAGGGGGGGGGTTACTTTGATGTTTTGATGTTTTGAGGTTTTGAGGTTTTGATGTTTTGAGGTTTTGAGGTTTTGAGGTTTTGAGGTTTTGAGGTTTTGAGGTTTTGAGGTTTTGAGGTTTTGAGGTTTGAGGTTTTGAGGTTTGAGGTTTGATTTTTCGGAGGGGGAAATGGGGAAATGGGGAAATGGGGAAATGGGGAAATGGGGGATTTAGGGAAATGGGGATTTGGGGGATTTGATATGGGGAGGGATGGATGGATGGAAGAATAGATGGATGAATTGATGGATGGGAAGGGATGGGGAGGGATGGAGATTTAGAAGTGATATGGATGAATGGATGGATGATTGATGAATGGATGGATGAATGGATGGATGGATGAATGGATGGATGAGGATGGATGGATGGATGGATTGATGAATGGATGAGGATGGATGGATGGATGGATGGAAGAATAGATGAAGACTTGGATGGATGTGTAGATAAAGATTTAAAAAGATAGGTATAAATGGATTAATAGAGATTTGGAAAGGGATGGATAGATTGATAGAGATTTGGAGATTTGGAGAGGGGTGGATGGATTGATGAATGGATTAATGAATGAATGGATGAATGAATAAAGATTTGGAGAGGGATAATTGGATGAATAGAGATTTGGAAAGGGGTGGATAGATTGATAGAGATTTGAAGAAATATAAATAAATTAATAAATGAATAGATATGTAAATAAAGATTTGGAGAGGGTTGGATAGAGATTTGAAGAGAGGTGAATGGATTGATGAATAGATAAAGAGGGATGAATGAATTGATGAATGAAGATTTGAAGATTTAAAAAGGAATGAATAGATTAATAATATAAATAAAAGAGTGAATAAATAAATAATTGAAGATATAAATAAAGATTTAAAGAGAAATAATTGAATAAATAGAGATTTGGAAAGGGATAGATAGATTGATAGAGATTTAGAGATTTAAAAAGGGGTAAATAAATAAATAAATAAATAAATAAATAAATAAATAAATAAATAAATAAATAAATAAATAAATAAAGATTTAGAGAGAGATGAATAAAGATTTGAAAGTAATAGATAAAGATTTGGAGAGGGGTGGATGGATTGATGGGGATTTGGAAGTGATATGGAAGTGATGTAGAAGTGATGTGGAAGTGATATGGAAGTGATGTGGAAGTAATGTGGATTGATGATTGGATAGATAGAGATTTGAAGAAGGATAAATAGAGATTTAGAAGTGATATAGATGAATGAATGAGTGGATGGATAAATTAATAATTGGATCTCTTGTATGATTAGATCTCTCGTATGATTGGATCGCTTGTTCGGGTATATGTAGCATGTATGTAATATGCAATGTAATATGCAATACGATGTATTCTTCTTTGCTTATTTGCTACGAGTAGGTACTGTGATGCTGTGATATTGATATTGATATTGATACGAGGTACTGGCTACCCCGCAGTGAAGTTTGTGCTGTATATTGTACTGTATGTTGTACTGTATGTCGGAAATGGGAGAATGATAAGGTATGATGGGATGAGAGATTGGTATGGTGGGATGTAGTTAGATAACTAGATAGTTAGAATGGTAAATAGCTAGAAGGAGGAAGGCTAGCTGCATACATGCATTTCTTTCCGAGGGGGGAAGTTGGGAGGGGAAGTTGGGAGGGGAAGTTAGGATGTGTATGGCTTGTGGGGGTTTGTATGGATTTGGATAATAGAAAAATAGATATTTACAAGGTAATAAACCACTCACTCACTTACCTAGTACTTACTTACCGAGCTTCCTTGCTCTTCTACCCCTCTTTTTTCCTGAAGATATCTAGGTAGTTGTAATGTGATGTGATGTGATGTGATGCTTATAAGCTAGCTGCGAGGCTGCGGAGCTGCTTGGATCTTGTGTGATGTGCATTTGTATGGATTAGGTATTTAGGTAGGTATTATATTATGTTATGTATATATGTAAGAAGAGAAGTATTTCCCATTTCTCTTTTTTAAAATATACATTTTCTTTACAATTTTACTCTAACAATTTCTGTGATTTTATTTTTGTGATTTTATTTGTTTGTCGTGCAAGGAAGATATACACACACATACACAAACACACATACAATGCAAACCCCAAATATCATCAGTGCCGACGTAGCACCGCAATTCTACGATAGTATTAGTGATCGCTATGAGAAGTATTATGCGCAGAATCAGGGCTTGTTGGATTTTGTTAGAGAGAGTTTGGAGTTGCTGCCGAGGGATGCTGAGGTGAGTGATGTGTGGATGGATGGATTTTCTCGTGTATTGGGGGTTTCTGTGGAGATTCTTGGAATTGGGAGATGAGGCATTGGACTCAGGAGATGTACTTTTTCTTATTCGCTTTCTCAAAGATGTTGAATGAATCACTACATCTCCCTCTCTTGTGAAAAACACACAGGGAATTGCATTCCCCCTCCTTACCTAACCCAATCTCAAATCAACCAACTAACCAACTGACTAACCTCCCTCACCCAGGTCCTAGACATCGGCTGCGGAACCGGCATTCCCACCTCCCTCGCGGTGACAAACTCCGGTCGCAAACTGCACGGCATCGATATCTCACCCAAGATGATCGCTCGCTCGCGGGAAAATGTTCCGGCGGGAACATTCGAGTTGGTGAGTATGTTGGATTATGTACCGAGAGGGGGGCTCAAATACGATGGCATGTTTGTCGTGCTATCCATGTTTCATTTCACGAGAGAGGAAATGCGGAGGGCGGTGGGGAGGTGGAGGGAGTGGGTGAAGGGGGGTGGGGAGGGATATGTTTTTGTAGGGACGATTGCGGCGGAGGATGCGGTGGGGATTGGGGAGGGGGTGGTTTCGGATGATGGGGTGGGTATTTATTTCTTTATTTCTTTATTACTTTATTTCTTTATTTCTTTATTTCTTTTTTCTTTTTTTCTTTTTTTCTTTTTTTCTTTTTTTCTTTTTTTCTTTTTTCTTTTTTCTTTTTTTCTTTTTTTCTTTTTTTCTTTTTTCTTTTTTCTTTTTTTCTTTTTTTCTTTTTTTCTTTTTTTCTTTTTTTCTTTTTTATTTCTTTCTTTCTTTTTTGTTGGTTATGGAGATTGGAGAATGACAATGCTGATTATAAACTCGTGCTAGCGCTACGCAGAACATGTCCCGGGAAAATTCATGGGCGAAGTGAATACGAATTTTCTGTACACGCAACTGGGATGGGAGGAAGTTTTGGCGGAGAATGGATTTGAGATTGTGAAGGAGGGGAAGGCGGTTTTTGAACCGCCGGAAGAGGCGGAATGTGATAGGGAAGTGCATTTTTTTATTACGGCGAGGATGAGGTAGAGTGGTGGTGGAGATGGGGAGGATGGGAGGGGAGTGGAAGGGGGGTGGAAGGGATGGGATGGGGTAGAGGGGAGGATGAATGAATGATGGAGATGATGGGGATGGTGGATGAATATTAGGTTTGGGAATAATGTAGTATTGATTGAGTTTCTTTGGTTCCACATCACGGAGTACAAAATTCAAAATTCAAACAAGTCATTACTATTTTCACATAACTACAACTTCAAGGCGCCAGGATTCTCAACACAGTTTCTTCATCAAACTGATGGAAAAAATATTCATTAATTTCCCATGACACTTCTCATAACACTTCCCAAAGACGAAAAAAACTCCTCGTAAGAATATCCTTCCCCAAACTCCAGAACCACCACACTGAACTTCTTCTCTCCACGAATCCCAGCACCCATTCTTGCCATCACCATGCGGCCATTATTTTTCTTGAAATAATATGGGTATCCCTCTCTCACAATCTCCTCTTCCCCGGAGGAAAACTCAAATCGAATTTCCTTGATGTGACAACTCGGCAGAACTTGTATATATTCTCTGCTCGTCCCTCCACCGTTTTGGTTTGTGGAGTCTTGTCTTGTCTTTGGACTTTGGAGGTTGAAGTGAGTTGAATTTGTCGGTTGGAGTTTCGATTCTATATTTGCATGTGGTTTCAAGAGGGTGGGCGCTCGCATCTTCCTGCATATGTGAGGAGTGCCCACCCCTTATATGTAAAAGCTTGATCATGGTATTTGGAGTCTGCTGTATTTTTGATTAGTAGTTGTGCGTTGATTTGTAGTGAAGGATAGCTATTGACATGTGGGAAAAGGAGTAAGATGTAGTGTTTACTTACGAAGTTGTATGGGTATCCGTATCTTACAATCTTCTCTTCCTCGGAGGGCGCGGAGGGATCTCAAATCGAGTTTCATTGATGTGATCGACTTGGTAGATGGTGCGTAGAAACGGAAATGATCGAACACCATGCGCATGGTGAGATATCTCAGGGAACCACTTGCTCTATTTTTGTTGGCGGAAGTTGATTGGATGTTTGACTGATCTGCTAGGGGCTTAAACATACCTTGGCTATCAAGACTTTCTGCACCAAACAGATAGATGGCCTTGTACGGACCAACGGGCTCTGAGAAGCTGCCATCTTTGATTGTGGTGGGTTTCTAGGGGACCCGCTAGTCCCGTACTCGGAACCATTATCGTCTTGATCAAAATTTGCGCATTTTTCTGGGTATAATTTCTTGTCGATGCAGTCTATTGCAAATGAGGAAGTAATCGGGGTAAGAAGATAAGAAGGAATTCTCCACGCGACTTACACCGAAGAATCAACCATTGTGCGACAAGCCTGCGAGACAAAAGATTTTGAAATCGATCTATTGATCTCCAACAAACAAATCAGCAACGAGAAATATTTGAAAGATTTTCTCGATGGACTTATAAAAAGATGGAATTATAAAAAACAATCACCATCAATCCATCGATCCAAAAATAACCATTATTGAAATACCTTTCGTGAGATTTTCGCTTCGAAGAAAAGCCGTTGTTTTTCCGAAATAGGAGAGAGTAGTTGGAGAAAGTTTGGAAATATGGGTTTGGGAATTAAGGGAAGAGATAAAGAAAGTTTTGCAACACTAGAATGGATTTTGATCACGCTGTTAATGAGATTAGGGCTTTGTCTAGTGGGAGGAAATGAGTCACCTCTAATCAAAAATAGGGCTTGAGCGGGTTAACTGGGGGAGAATAAGACGGGCGGATTTGACATGGGTTGTAGATTTCGGCACACGTAGATTTTACTTTTGTTTTTCTTGTTTTTCAAAACTATCTCATCTTTCCAAATTAAACCGTTCAGGAGGAGTTCGAAAAGGGAAGAAAAGAAGCCAACAGAATCTTCTACATGGCCTTACCTCCTTCCGTCTTTACAACTGTATCTCAACAACTAAAAGCAAACGCCTATCCTGCGAGTATCTGATTCCAAGAGTCGTCGCTCTCTACCGTGAGTACCACCTCGTTCTCATTGCGGTAACACTTTTAACTGACACACCTTCCCAAGACCCCCCATTTCTAACTCTTACGAAAACTCAAATGTGAGCAGTAGTTCAAAGTCATCGATCGTGCAGCTTTCCATGGGAATTTATATTATCAATTCTCTGTTGAAGGTTCAGATCAAGTAAGTCATTTATCTTCTTTGGCATCATACCGCTAGTTATTATTCTCCGCGGTAACTTGGTAACTTTGAGCTAATCTTTGATTCATTCAATAGCTATTCATTGAAATTTAAAGTTCGAGTTCAGGAACATTCGAATTCAATTCTAAACGTCTCATTGCAGCACGCAAACGCCGAGAAAAGTGTCACATGTTTCTTCTTCTTTCCAAACTCTCTTCATCAAACTCGATCTACCGAAGGCATCAGTAAATCAACCTTTGTCTCTCCTGTCTTTCACACCTGCTATACCTTACGTCACGGAAAATCCACCAACAATTCCTGCTACTATTTACGTCGATGAGGCGTAGCCGACTCGCGTTTTGCTTTGCGGATGGTAATAACCAGAGATCGATAAGTGTACAAGCCACTGCGATACGTTCACCAACACCCCTTCGATCTACTATCAGTTACCGGAATCATAGTATGTACCCCAAAACCCACTTTTAAACATTAGCAAACCTTTGAACTAACGGGATTGACAGGATAAAAAACTTCATCGAGATTTTTACGCGATTTTCACAATCCTCTTTATGTCAATAAGGAAGGGGTCGCAAGTTCCTCCGCTATTTTCTTCTTCTTTTTGAGATAAAGTGCTACTTGAAAAGTCTGCTCGATCAATGCTTTGTCAGTTCTCTGATCACCGCAATTGATTCTATCAGACTTCAGCGAGATGTCTTACAGGCCTTTCTTAGTAGGAGCGAGAAAGAGACCTTTCCTTTTATATCCTATTTGCCGCAGCAATAATGAGGAATCGCTGCTGCGTCTGGATTTGCTTCTTGGCATCAATGATAACCGATCGCTATTCATATGCCATGGACAATTGTTGAGACACTCTATCGATCTTTGAAAATCCTAAAGTGGCTTAGGGACTTCAGCGAGATGTCTTACAGTGCATGAGCACGGCCATAACAAATAGGCCCGCTTCAGCCCTCATCAGCCATCAGATGGCAATGCAGCTGGTCCAGGATTGCGTCTCGTTGCTTCGGCATCAATCAAAACGGCCATTGAAGATCCTAATCATAAAGAGGACATCTTTCCCACGATTGCTGCGCGCATGACCCCACTTCAACAATTCCCTCCTCTGCATCCTCCTTGCCACCAGAAGCAGAGCATCTGCAGAACCGACTAAAATTCGAGTTTAAGCAACCATGCGCGTCCATGAAAGTCTTAAGTCAATCTGGCAAGGGCACCTTCTGCTTAAGCCACTACCAATTCTACACCAAACCCTCTCGCCATGACACAGGCAGTTGGGAACCCTTCTACCTACTCTGCAAGGTCTGCGATGTTTCTAGATGCCTCAAGGTGTCCATCCCAGGTGGCAACCCTGCCACAATTTCCAAGTCCCTGGAGACTGGACTCATCCTGGTCGATTGAAATCTTGCCGAACATCACCGTCGATCAGGATGAGCCAAAATCCCCAACGGGATATCACCCTGTGCCCTGCAAGGTCTGCGATGTTTCTAGATGCCTCAAGGTGTCCATCCCAGGTGGAACCTTCATCAAACTGTCTAAGTCCTCTGGAGACTGGGCTCATCCTGGTCGATTGAAATCTTGCCGAACATCACCGTCGATCAGGATGAGCCAAAATCCCCAAAGAGATATGAACCCGCGCCCTGCAAGGTCTGCGGTGTTTCTATATGAGTCAAGATATCCAATTTGGAGTGGCAATCCCGCCACACAATCCAAGACCCCTAGGGATTCGGCTCATCCTGGTCCATTGAAATCTTGCCGAACATCACCGTCGATCAGGATGAGCCCAAATCACCAAAAGGATATGACCTCCCGCGTTAGATCGCGCTACAAAACAGCGACTCGTTCTTGAGTTTAACAATCTCCCCTGGATTGCAGATCGAACGAATAATCAGCATATGAACGCGGGTGGTGAATAGCCTGTAAGCATCTACCGGCTTCTCAGCAAAGAGCACATACTAATTCTCTTGAACTTCCAAGTTTCAGTCCCGTTGCTGAAACTGGGGAGTTGGAGCGGATTAGTATGTGCTCTTTGTTGAGACGCGGGCGGGTGTTTACTGATTATTCATTACCTACTTTTATGTGCTGATTGCAGCTTGGATCTTGGATCTTGGATCTTGGATCTTGGATCTTGGGCGAGATGTCTTGATGAGACTATCCTTCGTTTTTGATATTCCTTGCTGGCCATGGCTTTGAGCAAGTATGTTCTGTTAATTTCACTGGAATGATGCAGGGTACGAGGGAATAGCATGGAGAAACAGCGGACTTTTCATCTAAACTTCGATTAAATGGTCCCGGTGGTGACCTTTGGGCTTGGAAAGATTTCAAAAAAGTGTGGAGGAGAAGCGCAGTTTGCAAGAGGAGACAAGTGGGAACATATAAGAGCAATATCGCGCAGGCAAGGGTGATCAATTTTACTTCAGGGAGGACGATGGAATCAATGTCCACAGTTTGGTTCGTGGTGGCTGTTCTTAGCACTGCAGATAGCATCATTCTCAAAATTGTGATTGAAATTTTCCTTCCAACAATAGTGCTATCCCTGAATATAAACTTGTGTGAAGACCGTCTCAATAAGAAAGCAGGATACACCCGATAAATCTTTCGCGCACCATATGCAAGTTGTCATGAAATGTGAAAAGATTGATAGTGAAATTTGAGGCGGATTCTATTTTCTGCATTTTCCAATGTTCTCCACCTATTTCGCATCCCCCCAGTTGTCACTTTTTGAACCATCAAAAGGTACCTACTCACCAAAAAAGGATACTTCCCTGCAAGAGAACAATTGTGCTCACGATGCCAATACTATTCCATCAACTGGGCCGACGGCGAAAGGTACAAGATTATCGACCGCGTCAGCCTTGGCGCAAGGGAATCAATTATGAGATCATGATTTCGACGACCTTACACGCAAATGAACCACGAGGTTTGAAACAACATCATAATATCAACCGCTAGCTATAAACATTATGTGCACCAAGTGGGGTGGGTAATGAATATGTCAATTGCTCTCGGTGAGATAAAGTACAGAGCAAACTAGAATAATTACAAATAATACTCCCATTTTCCAATCAGACCATCCCATCCAGCTCTTGGTGATTTTTCGTGGCCTCATGAACCATAGCGCCTGTGTATATGTAGGTATGAAACCATCCCAAAGTCCAAATATGTTACATATCTACAAAAGAATCGAACCCCCATTTCGTTTACCAAGCATCTTCATCATCCCAAGTAATTTCCTCATCTTCCTGCTTGCTATCTTCTACTGCAGGAGCCTCGTGACTTCTACCAGTACTTCCACTAGAATTCCTCGAATGGACACTTCCGCGTTCAGATGATGTAGCATTAGCATTAACAGGCGGCGCGTTAATCAACCAACCAATTCCACCAGCCAAAGTACCAACGGCAGCATTACGAAGTTGATCTCTCTTCCGTAACGATGTTCGTCCACTTGAAGATCTAGTAAGATCTGTAGCCGGTCCAGGAACTTCTGCTTGCATGGGAACACTATGGCTCTCACCCATAGTTTCCGCACGTTGTGACTTTCCTCTGAACATCGATAGCGCTGATAACCCTGTTTGAGCACGAGTGATACTTTCTTTTGAAAGATCGAAAAATGACACAGGTGCCTCTTCATTCTTGTTTCTTCGAGGGGTTCTGGCGTTGGAATATTTTCTAGCAGGTGTAGCAGCATAACCGCCTGGCATGTTCTTATCATCGGCTTTCTCATCCCAAGCTTCTTCTTGTTCTGCCTCTTCCTTGATCATTGTTTCGAGCTCTTCCTCACATCTACGATATGCGTTTAGAACCTCTTGCAAAGTATCCCGTGGCGCCAATCGTAGAGCTTGAGCCAAGCAATCCATCCTCTGTTGGAGATGCCTAATCTCTGGGTTTCCACTAGTATTACCGAGATGAGTAGCTCGTGTAGTTTGTGAGTTTTTACGATATTTGCCAGCTTGTAAAGCTGCACGCCATGACCAATCATCAATTGGTCTAGGTGGGCGTTGACCAATACATCCCGTATTTCTTCGCTCGAGCTCTGGCATGCGTGTGTGTGCTTGACGACCAACAGCCTTGAGACGAGTGACAACGTAAGAATAAGCTGTCTCAAAATCGTCTTCCGCAAGAGCCATATCAATACACATACTGATAACACGTTTTTCGGCGATCTTTAATTTCAAATCAGGAGTGGTTGGATATCCGTCTGGGATTGGTATGTTTAAACCGGTCTTGGCCATTTCTCTAGCCATACGTACAAAGTCGTTGATTTGTGTATAGCTTTTGTCATTCTGTTCAAGTATTTTGTTCAAGATTGACAAAGGATCAGGATTGACTCGTAGGCTGACTGGTTTGAATGGCTGTCCTTGTTTCAACACCAAACTGTAACGGCCTATTTCATCTGTTACTTGAATGAGATTGCGTAATTCTTGAGCTCGAGGATGGCCGTTTATTGTATCTGGAAATGCATTGAGACTTAAGAATGGGTTAGCAAGTTCTATATGAGATCATAGGTGCATGGAGAATCTTCTTCTTTCGTCCCATGAATGGTGATCGAAGGGAAAGCAAAATTGGACACGTGGCCCCAAAATAAAAAGGTAAAAAAGACTTACATTTCATCACATTTTTTAACTCCACCTCTTGACTTGTTAGGATTTGTGGCAATATCGTAGGCATTCTCAGCTGCAGTAAAGATGGCGTGTTGCAAATACTCTTCTGGGATAGGCTTTTCCGTTGGAGTTTCATAGATAGATCGAGCAAGAGTATATCCTAAATGAGAAGATTGTCAACAACCGAAGGGGCATGGTAGAAGTAGATACGGTACATACGGGCATTTGCGATGAGCAATTTAAAGGCTTCTACCTCAATTGATTCTTTGTGGATTCGACCGAAAACACCCCTTCCCTGACTCGGATCGGTCGTGCCCTCAAACTCTTCAGCTCCCCAATCTCGTAACCATAACAACTCATTCCTCATTTTGATCCAAAAGCGATCATCAGAACCAGAACGATGACCAAACGAGGAGATGAACCCTCTAAATGCCATCATTTGCTCACGCTCATCTTGGAGTAAAGCGAGCTCTCCAGCTCTCTTAACAGTACACCCCTCTCCTCCTCTAGTGAGGAGATATGCACTAACCAGTAATGCTTTGATTAAATTAATGGATGATTCATTTGGATTCGTCAAGGTATTCTTCTCTTCTAAATGATTGTTTCGAAGATGTTTTGCATTCTTTCGGTACAAATAACTTTCCTCAAAGGTGGGTATAGGAGTCAATATAGCTGCTGCTGCTTCCAATGTAGGCATCTTATCCATATCAAGTAATGTAAGAATTCTGGAAAGAATTCGATGAACACCTTCCAAAGCTTCCATGGAGCTTTCAGGGATAAGGTAAGCTGTCGCAAGAGCAGCTTTTGCATATCGTTGTTCTAAATGGCGTTGATCCTCTTCATCTAACCATTCCGTTCCATCCTCAAATCCTCCCAAGTCTACGTCTCCTGGCCCATCCCATTGTTCAATTGCCTTGACGGCTGTTGTCCAAGATATACCTGCTTCAGCAGTGACCCATGCAAATACCAATTCCCAACCAGCGTACTTATGGTTTATAATTCCTGCCTTTTCTAACGATGCTGCTGCTTGTGACTGCTTTGTGGAGTTATCCTCAACTTTCCTTCGCTTCCATCTATTGTCTCCATAAAGCCATGGGCCAGTCAGTCCACGCAAATCTCGCCCTACGGATTGATTTTCCTCGCCCGATGTGCTTGAATCCTTCCCTGTCTTGGAGAGCAAGTACTTTGTCCCTTTAACATCATCTAAAGCTTCAAATTCGCGTATGGTGAGTATTGGTTGAGTACCTGAGTGATATTCGTAATTGAGACGAAGGAGGGGTAGAATGGTGGAAATTGTCCAGGTTCGTAGATATGATGAATATGATAAGAAAGGAGCCAATAGTGTTGGAACTTCACTGAGTAAGCCGGTGTTTTCGTCAATTCGCAATGCACGTTGTATCAAAAACATAACGAGGTGGTCGTCGAGAATATCCGACGGCGCATCTTTCCATCGTAGAGGAAGGAGATGTAATTTCTTGACCCTTTTATGGACTTCTGCGGGGTTAATGCCTTTGATTGAGTCTAAAATAATGGTGTCCTCCGAATCATCTATGATTTCACCCGATAAAATGTCCTTTATAAATGGCACATATTTGGAAGACTCCAAACTTTCTGGTAGATGGGTAAGAAGTATGCGGAAGACAAGGTCATTTCGTAGAATGTTTCGATGTCGCGACACAAGAGTTCGTAGAAGTCGTAAATCTGATTTTGTTGCAAAGTCTATAGCAAGCCATAGAACCATAGCAGGTTCCAAATCTGGGTTTGCCATTGCTACCCTTTGGTCGAGCATTCCCAAATGTCAGGAACTGGATTTTCGATGTAAACACAAGCTGTCGGATAGCAGCAGCTAGAAAGTTCCCGCTGTCTGGCTTTCAAGCCTAATATAAGAGGCACACATGCATACTACCCCTGTATGGTTAGCGTTGATTCAATGCTGTAATTGAACATCACATTTACAACCTCAACCCCTCCAAACTTCACAATTCAACGCAAAAGATGGCATCTGGTTACGGTCTTAGTGGGGGTATGTGTTGAATCATTCTTGGGAATGAATGGCAGATGTTCCGTGTTTGGAATGAAATCAATGGCTAACTAATTGCTCTCAAGGTCCTTCCCGATGCTTTCCATTCTGGCAAGAAGTCTTAGCTTGTTACGTCGTCAACACCTCTACGGAGAGTGATGCAGGAAAGAGAGTGTGCGCGCCGGTCTTGGAGGATTACTATGAGTGCCTACATCACAAGAAGGAGGT